ATATATAATATATATAATATATATATATAATACAAAACAACAACAACAGAAATACTTCTGGTCCACTGAATATAAAGATTAAGAACGACAGGGTGAGTAAATAATGGCAGAATTTTCATTCTTGTATAAACTATCCCTTTAAAGGGATATTTCATCCAAAAGAATATATATTTTGAAGAATGTTGATAAATCACAGCTGACTGTAACCATTGACTTCCATAGAATTTTTTCCTTACTACTGAAGTTGGCTACCATTATCTGTTTTGTTACCAATGTTCTTCAAAATATTTTCTTTTGTGTTCAATAGAACAAAGAAACTCATTCAGGTTTGGAACAAGTGGAGGGTGAGTAAATGACAATTTTTATTTTGGGGTGAACTATGCCTTTAAGTGCTGTGATTGAAGCTGTATTATGCATAAAATTCTTGTTTTTGCTGTCAAAGGAAACAATATTTGTTTTAAAGGTCATTCAAATAAACTAGTTTATTAGGGTTTCGGTACAGAAGGAACACACTGTCACAGACATACACGTTGACAGCTGACCTCAGATGCACGAAGCTTAGTTCGCATGCAGCCTGATATTTGAAAACCACCTCTCCGGTAGTTGTCATGGAAACCGCACACTTCTCTGCCCTCCCTTTTTCTGCGAAGCGTCTATGTGCAGATGCAGTGTTGCACAATTAGTCTCGGTCGGATTCATACACGTGCCAAGCGGTGGGGGTCGAGTAGATGGGGAGTTTCGTACATGTGAACGACAGAGTTGCCCCTTCTGGAATTACTTCTGTAGACCACTCAGCAGGTGGTCTCTGATACTAATCAGGTTTCCTGGAGCTATAACACCAATTGGAGCAAGAATAACAGTGTTGCAGTCCTAACAAGAGCCATGGTGCCATTCCATTCATCTCTTTTCACTATATAATTTAGGAAACATTAGAGGAAGCGCACATTTCTTTTATTAAACCCCCAAACATCTGGAGGTGGTGTGAAGTAATGATTAAGCCACAGGGCTGGTTTGATTCCCGCAAGAAGCAAACCATGAAACATAACCATTCTGCCCTTCAGCAACGCACCTAGCCCCAGGAAATTATGCCTGTAATATGTTAATGACAGCAATCTGTAGAAACACTGTGTGAAAGTCACAGAAACTATTTCCATTGACTCTGGTTGTGGCAATTAATATTAAATCAGAACAACCTAGAAACCACCTGTATTACAAACACACAGCAATCTGCTGTAAACCGCTTAGAACTTTAGCAGGTGCATAGTAATGCCCTGACAACCACCCACAACAACCTAGGATACACTGAGAACAGATTCAGATTAATGGTGGTTGTGAAGGCAAGCATCACTATTACATTACATATTACATCTTATATTAAAACACGGATAAATCAACTCATCAACTTACAGTGTAAGGCTCGTTACCTTCCATTGTCAATTGCGTTCGTTCCTGTTATGTGTCCTCAATCTGTCCTAATCGATTCAGAAAACCTTCAGAAAAATTGTAAAACACCCTCCCGAAAACTGCCCACAACACCCTAGCAACCATTTAGAATGCCCTAGCAACCAAATAGTAATGCAGACCAATCTAGAAGTTGAGCAATCTCTAAGAGACTCCAAGACCTGAAATGGATGGGTCCAAAATGTGTACTTTTGGTGTGCTTCCAGGAGCAGGGTTGGGAAACTTTGCTCTAGTCGTCACCCCGAACACTGAAGCACAGGTATTTTTGACTGTTCTGGAGGGCCTGCAGAGTTCGTCTTCAACTCCTGATCAAACTCACCTGCCTGTAACTTTCAGTGATCATGAAAACTTTAATTATCTTGTACAGGTGTGTTTAATTAGGGTTGTAGTTAAACTCTGCAGAACAGTGACCCTCCAGGACTGGAGATGAAAAGCCCAGCCACTGCCCACAATACTCCAATTCAGTGCTTCCCAAACCTGTCCTGGAGGCCCCCCTGCCCTGCACCTTTTGTATGTCTCCCTTATCTAACACACCTGATTCCACTCATCAGCTCGTTAGTAGAGACTGCAAGAACTAAATTCGGTGTCTGATTAGGGAGACATACAAAATGTGCAGGGCAGGGGGTCCTCCAGGACAGGTTTGGGAAGCACTGCAATTAAAACTCAAAATGCTCAAATAACCACCCAGAACACTGCATAGTAACGCTCTGGGTAGGAACAACCCACAACAACCTAGCCTACTAACCATTCAGAACACCCTAGCAACCACCTAGAACACCTTAGCAGCTACATAGTAACACCCTGGCAACCACCCACAACACCCTAAAAACCACAGAATATGCAAAAAAACATCCTAGTAGCAACCACTGACAACAACCTACTAACCATTCAGTACACGCTAACAACCATCCATGACACCTTTGCAGGAAAAACCTTAGCAACGCTCTGGCAACCACCCACAATACCCTACCATTCAGAGCACCCTAGAAACCATCTACATCAGCATAGCAACTAGCATAGCAACTCTATATTTTTGGATGATTTTTGTCAATAACAATAATTAAACAATATTTTTCTTAGTGTGTTTTTATGCTGGTACCTTGGCTAGTTTAGACCTGTCATTAAAAATGAAATATGACACAAACTGCCAGTAGGTGGCGGCAAGTCCCTTAATGAATGATTAATGAGTGATTCATTGAATCATTAATTCAAACGATTCATTCAAAATGGCTGATTCATTTAGAAACTAAGCAAGTTGTTGTCTTTATGAATGGAATATTGAATCATTGACACATTCAAAAACAGATTAATTCAGGAAACACTGATTTGTGTTACACGCAAATGTTCTGCTCCGGCTTTGTTTGGAACTAGGCCTATTTTTGTTGGCAAAACACAAAAAACGTAGCTCACTCAATATTAACTTAATGTTTGTTGAACTGTATAAAAATCTATATCTCATTTGTGATCATGCTCATTCTAAAATTCAGGAAAACGGCACTCTTGCTTGTGTAATATTACTGCTTCATATTTTATAAATATGAAAAAAAAAAAAAAAACCCGTACAGGGATATGTTTTGCTTTCATAACTTGAATTATAGTGGCATAACTTGAATTATAGGGACTTTCGAGATGTGTTTTTTGCGAAGTGAGTGACATTACAATATTATCATAGATGATAAATATCACATACTCCAATAGCAACCAAAGCAATATGCTAAAAACTACTTAGAACACCATAACAACTGTAAAGACCCACAACACCCTACTAACTATTCAGACCCTAGCAACCATCCATAACACCTTATACCCTAGCAACTACTAAAAACTACCTATAGAAACCACAGCAATATGCTAAAAACCAGAACAGAACTTAGCAACTATATGGCAACCACCCTTAACAAGCTACTACCCATTCATATGCAACATAGCAATGTCCTGGCAACCACCCACAATGCCCTAGCAACCACTCAGAACATACAATAAACCACCTATATAGCAACCACATGACATGGCTAAAAACACTTAGAACACCTTAGCAACTGTAAAGCCACACCCTGGCATCCACCCATGACACCCTACCAACCACTTAGAACACCAGGTGCATGGTTAAACCCTGTCAACCACCCACAACACCCTAGCAACCACATAGCAATGAACACTTCAAACACCTTAGCGACCACAAAGCAATATTAAAAAGCAGCATTTGAGAAACAGTGAGTTTTTAGATCTTTTGTCTCATTCTGATCGGTCATTATAACAGACCCACACACATATGCGGTATATGGGGTGTCCTGCATTGATCAGCCCTCTCTGCTCCTGTAGAGCATCTAACCTAAGACCCGGAGCACAAGATCCAGGCACAGTGCAACAAGGATAAAACATTCTTAGGCTCTGCGCCACATCTGAGGAATATTAAAACAATCCCATCAGCCAACTTCAAACGCTCAGCTCACGCAGAGAAAGGAAAGAGGACATCTGCAGAATATTCAAAAATGCTCCTTCCTCTGAGTGCTGTCACACAGTCTGGGAAACCTGAGAGAGAGAGATTATCTCTGAATTTAGATGGGCTGTGCTAATATAATAAAACAGAACGCAGAGAGGGAAGCAAAAGCTCTAGTGTCTGTCAAGCAGTGAAGATGAGGACTGCATTTGGCAGGACACACCAAGCATCACACGGACACTTCAGTGAGCGCTTGGCAGGGCTAAATAAACTCCCGTCCTGGGGGCCCCAATTCAAAACTTATTGGTTTCCAACTGGGAAGAGGAAACAGCTATCACATAGTATTGCGTTCTGCCAAATACACACGTAACACGCTGGTCGCTATCCAAATAGGCTTGCTATGCCAATCCAGCTTGTGTGGTTGAAATAAGTGCATCAGAACGATAAAAGAGGATTTTTCTCTTAATCTGTTTGCTTTTTCTTACTGTCTATTAAGGGCTTGATGCGTGTCCTGTACAGCTCAGTATTTGTGTCTCTCTCCTCTCGTTAAATCTGTATTTTGGCACGCTCATTTAGTTTCCTCCCACACTTGGCGGGTGTGCTCGTGCTCGCCAGTAATTAATGACTGCCAAAATTTATGATGTTAAGATGTTAAAATTAAAAATTTGATTAAAAATGCAAAAATAAATAAATAAATAAACAAAATTCCCGACTTGTACACTATATGACTAAATGAAACATGCAGCATAGTAATTTATGGTTTGCATAATGAATATTCTTTCATATGCTTTTTAAAAAATATTTGGCAGTATTCAGTGTATACGGCACAGTATGCAATAAGTAATAAGCTAATATGACACTGATTTGAAACGTTATACAGTACATAGGTAGAGTCACAGTGCATTTTGAATCTGCAAATGATACATGAATGCGGTTTTAGAATTTTTCCAAAACCAAGAATCTTAGGTAGGATAGAATATTGCTGTCTACGTCCTGTACAGCTCAGTATTTGTGTCTCTCTCCTCTCGTTAAATCTGTATTTTGGCACGCTCATTTAGTTTCCTCCCACACTTGGCGGGTGTGCTCGTGCTCGCCAGTAATTAATTGGACCACCTGTTCCCAATCACCTTTACTGTTCCACCGCCCCCAAAGAATTATGGGATATGTAGTCTTTTGCGCTATAGGGTAATGAGGTTATATGTGCACATGTTAAAAAGGTTATGACTGCATATTTTCAAGATCTTAAACATAATGTGTTTTTGGACGTTTGGGTAGATTTGCCCTATTATATACATGAACTGCAGTGATGCACAGAAAATAGAAAGAGAAAGAAAATCATTGTACTGCTTACTGAATATTGCACAGTATACTGTTTTAGAAATAGCATGTGAAACAGTAAGCATTGTACAAAAATATTTTGTATGCTACATTATTGTCACATTTCCTCTGTGCGTTGCATGTTTAATTCACCGAGTGCAGTTCAGCTATCATCTTGGAAATTAAAACAAATAAAAAAAAAAAAATTAATAATAATAATAATATATATATTTTTTTTTTTAATTGGAAATGAAAAAAAAATAAAATAAATACTAATAATAATAAT